CTTTAAGGCCGAAAATGCATTGAAATCGCACATTTTCACCATTCCGGACCCGTATCTCAGTTATGCATGGATGGATTTTGTTCAAATTTGGTACATACATTAAACATAATAGGACCTTGATGCACGTCTTTTTTTTTCGGATCAAGTTCGAAATAGCCGACTGGCGGCCATTTTGTTAAAGAATTCAGTTCTGGATCCGTATCCAAGACATGTCTGGATTGATCAAGTTCAAACTTCACACACACATGGTACATCATGTTACAAATAGATATGTGCATTTGTTTCATGATCTGCTTAACAATAGCGGAATGATGGCCATTTTAAGGCCGAAAATGCATCAAAATCACATATTTTCACAATTCCAGAACCGGATCTCAGTCATGCATGGATGGATTTTGTTCAGATTTAGCACAATGTGTTGTACATATGCAGGTGCATTTCGGTCATGATCTGCTTTGAATGTATATGTCACTCAAATATGAACGGAACGGGGACGTGTCATTGACAATGACTTGTTTTTGAATACCATTACCAAGATCGTCCAATAACTTAAAGAAGGTGGTCAGTCCTTTGTTTATGTATGAAATGTTAGTGCGGCGTGTCAAAGATTACTGCAACAATCGTCTGTTAAAGAGGCAGTATGGATAACTTTGGGCATTTTTGAGAATTTTTAAAAATCTTTTATACTTCATTCATTCAGAATCAATATTAAATGCAGCTATTTTAGAAATATTCCTTTGGCAAAAAACGGAAAACTCAAGTGCGCCTGCGTACTTTCAAATTCTGATTTAACTATTCGTATAGGTAATTACTTTAGCACACGCGCACTCATTCTGTGAGAACTATTACTTCTAAGATCGCTACTAAAAATGCCCAAAGTTATCCATATTGCCTTTTTAACTGAATGTTGTGCCGTAAATGACTGACTCGCTGTCAACAACGTGAAATAAAGTGACGTAATTTCGAAAACTACGAGTATAGTATATTACAGTTCCGGGCTGAAATCTCAAAATACGGACAATCATATGGGGGCCGAAAGTTCACGAATTGTGATGTAAATAATTATTACCCAGTGTCATGATTTAATTCGGCTTGTTTGATTAATCACTCATAAGTGACGGGAAATCCACAATGCGCGTCATGCGTCACAAGTTTACGTTCGACAGTGACGTCAGGTGATCGCCGGGATCTTCGTCGCATATCACCGAAGTTGCATACCATTATTATTATAATAATTTGTTACGATATACATTGACTAATATAATTCAGCTTGTTTGATTGGTCACACATAAGACAATGGCAACGCAGGTGACGATGTGTATTTAAATATATATGATTACGATATACATTGACTAATATTCGGGAATTGTTACACAACGTCAAGATTACATTAATTTATACAAATTCGCGGGTTTGCTTGCGAGTTCTATAGTGATGGCACATGTACTCTTTGATTTAAATTGGAAGGATTCAAAATTTAAAACCAGTGAATGTTTAATACGTATACAGCAGAACTCCGAACCTTTCGATAAGTGTTAATTAGTGATGAAAATACGTGTCACATCATGGAAGAATTAATTATGGGCGATGGAGGTGTGAATAGTCTTTGGTATAAACATGCCAATCAATCAAAACGAATAAAAGCACTATAAAACAGCGGAATATTCAGTCGGTCAGTCATATCATTTTGCTCAGCTAATCGTAACATACCTCATACCATGCATGTATACTGACTGTCATTACACGACTGTCACACGCAACGTAATATTACCGTAATTGGTATAGTACAGGTGTGATGGTTCAAATACCAAAATGGCAACAGTAACATAAAGACTTCCCTGGCGGCGATGATAACATACGAACACGGAGCCAACAGATGAGGTTTCAACTGGTACTGGTATTATTATACTCTGCAAACATCAAGTACAATAACGCGGTAAAACTCCAATACTCCAATAACTAGATACTTAAACTGCAATACAATTCAACGAGATCTCCGATCTGATCTCAGTGCTGAACAACTCTCCTATATATACCCCCACTGTCTATAAATAGACCATTACATCAGCATACATAATGAGTCTGGAACTTACTACAAATTTCTAGAATGTTCCATTACCTTCTATTGTCTTCTACAGTGTTCTATTACCTATTCAACCAGTTCCTAAAAATCTAGAATATTCTACCCAGACACAGTACGTTTCTAGAACATTCTCAGTGACACGGAAGTGGTAAACAAGTCGTATGCGACAACGACGTCAACTTGGCATAAATTGCGTAAGTACTGTAAAGGGGGTAATTATTCACTGGGTTTTAATTTAGCTTATTTCGCTGACTGGTAAATGCGCTAAATTAAAACCCAGTGAATATGTAAAATTTCGCATAGAACACATTATCTAAATGACGAAACCGTGAA